GATTATGTATTTGGTTTTAAGACTTTGATTTTTATATTTAGTACATTTCTTTTCATTCTGTCCTATTATCGAGCCCATTGTTTTCACCTTTTAATTATTAAGATTCTCATAAGACAACACTTTGAGACTGCTAATATTCTGTTTCTTCACATTTTATATTAATTGGTTGCTACCTGTGGTTATAATGACTGTGGTATTTACCAAATTCTATGTTGTAATCAATTCTTCAATATTTCTTAACAGGAATTCTGTAAAGTGTTACTTTTTTGCCCTCCCACCATTTATTAAATTGTTGCTAGCATTGGTAGTGCACACAGATGTACAGGTGTGGTCTTATGCACACCTGTGTGCACCTTGGTATATGCTGCATATTATCCACATATATTACAATCCACAGTGAGGAACACTTACCTAGACTTCTTAAACCTGTCCATGCAGCACATGCCGTTGGTTTACTGTGCCAAAATCTCAGAGATCAATTTAATAATTTCGTACAGCATCTTTCTACATCTAAATATGTAAGGTCTTTTTTTTATTAAATGTTTTTATTTTTGATTGAGTGAAAGTTTACAGGGCACATCATCAGCTTCACATTCAACCATTCATATAGCTTATTTCATTATATTGATTATTATCCCCTCCATATATCATCAGTTAACAGTGTTTTTCTCTATCCTTAAATATGTAAGGTCTTAATACTCTAGGTGTTTATATCGATGATACAACTTTTGACTTATGCTCATATGAAACAGAAAATAATACCAAAAATTAAAACACTAAAAAAAGAAGAAATGCTTATGAGTTCATTTGCATCACAATGATACATTAAACTTGTAATAAGCACAGTTAAAAGTCTCTGCAAAATCCCACTCAAATCTCTGAAGGGTGAGTCCCAATGGAACCCCTAAAGGCAGAAGTTACATTCATAACCCTTTGTGAGTGTCAGGGTTATTAATCACCAGAGAAATATGTGAAAACTCACTTTCACATTAAGAGATTTATTTATCTGGGGCATCCAGGATATGGAAGCTCCATAGAATATGAGATGGTTCTTGTTTTTTGTAACAGTGTAATCCCATTCCTCAACGCAAATACTGAAGTAATCCTGATGTGTAAATTACTTCTCCTGACTACAGGAATACCCATCACAATAAAAGGTCTCATTGTCCCCCAGTGAGGCCAAGTCTCTAGGATTCCATCCTCACAGCTCTGTAGAATTTAATCTGTGCAACATCCAGGAAGGCCCACTCTTCTGGCACTCACCCTGGTCCACATTATCAATGACCGCTGAGACCTAAAATGTCCCTCACACTCTGATTCAGCAAGGCATCACATATTCATTGATGACAAGGAAAAAGGTGACAGCCTTGGGAAACGAAAACCCCATCGGGGTAGAACAATTAGGCAGGTCTCAAGGGGTTAAGTGGGACAGCGATAAATAATAATGTATGCACTACCTTGGAACCAAAGGGCTCTGGGATACATAGACTGAGACATGGTTGGAATGGGGAAAAGAGGGGAATAATGTTAAGATATTTGGCTGTCTTTTGAGTTATAAAATAGACCCTTGAAGGGGAAGAGAAAGGAATAGCCAGAAACATAACCATAGAAAGCTTGTAAGTCCGTCTTCTTGATACAAGTGATTGGAATACCTAAAATGGGGCTACAGCATTTCCAGTGAAGGAGGCTGCCTGTGGAGCTTCTGTAATACATAAGACTATAGGTACAAGCCTGAACCACATCCAGATCTCCAGAGATGGGAAATTTCCCCTTCAAAGGATGAGCAGACCATCCTGGAGCTGCTACAAGAACAGAAAATACTGCTTGAAAGAAAGACCTACAGGAAAAATATAAAACAACATAGGCAGACCGACTGTTACTACAAAAACAAGCAAATTGCTTGCCCAGGAAACTTCAAGGCAAGTGATCGGGTCCCCTCAGTGCAAACCCCATTCCAAGACTAAGACTGAATGCAAATACATGCTCTGATTGGTGACCACTCTCTTCACCGACAAGGAGAAGTGAGGGAAAAACAGCAATGAAGTGGCGAGCTAAGACCTACAATGTTCAATACACTCCTGTGAACCCGGGTGAAGACCTGCTTGGCTATCAGTGTGCAAGACATGTGGACTCTCGGACCCAGAGTCAGTGACATAGCCACAGAGGACTAGAAGGGAATGTGAAGCATCAAGAGGGCATATGCACAAGAGCACCTACACTTGTAGATAATACCCACTTGACCTGGCTTCAATGACTGAATGATCAGAGCTCAACCGGAAGAGGAAAAAAAAAGTAATCTGAAACAATTTGATGAACTTGAACTACACCTATGGAAGCAGTAGCTCAAAAGAGAATACAAATCCTTACAGCAAGAATCATTCCCACCCCCTGCACACACAGAGTAGACAGGGATGGGCAACTTGGACATTGGCTACACAAAATCAGGTGGGGGGACTTCAAAGGCAAGAAGTGACTGGCTTACAAGCTTTCAAGAGGGCCTGGAGGAAGGTAGAATCTCCAGTGAGTAGTAGTCAATCTCTCTAGGCGGGCTGATGAAATTAAATGCAGATAGATCTCTTTTGATACAATAGTGAATAATTGTTATCAGGACTGACTGTGAGGGCTGGAAATGTAAAGGTAGGCAATTTATACAAGGAGGGGAGTGATTAACTT